GAACTCCGTTCGCCCTGGTCTCCTGACCTCCTGCAGACCAACAAACGAAATGTCCTGTTTCGCGNTGTCTTCCTGTCCCGGAGCGGCGTGGCTCTCCAGCTCTGGACCCTTTCCGTCCCCCTGTTGGGTGCTTACCCACACGGTGTGCGATCATCCCGCCACCCTCTCCGTGCTCTCCACTGCTGCCTTGCCCCGGCGTCCAAACCGGGGCATTTGGGTTCAAACCCATCGGCAGCTGTCTCCAAGTTGGCTTATCGCGACCTACCTCGATCTCGTGACCGCGGTAACTCCCGACCGCCAAACTCAGGATCCTCTCCTAACGGTGCTAGGGACCGTATATCCGTCGGTGTTGGGTGGTTTTTCGAGGGTTAATTGCACTTGTGGGCCTTGGCCTCCCCCGGGGAGGGGAGGAGGGGGGGAGGCGGACGGTGGGTGGGGTCAATCGCACGCATGGTATTTTCATCGACGCAGCGGTGGTTTTTTAAAGGGCATGGAATCTGACATGGTGACGATGCTTGGAAGTGAGGTCATTGTCCCTACGGAATACGTTGAGCGGTGCGTGTCAGCTGAACAGGAAGCGAAAAACGATGGGAGATCGATCGGGTAAGAATAATTTACCGTGGAGTTTGGTATAGGGGAGAGTTGATGTGGGAGACACGTCGCACGCGTGTTCGCTACACTTGTAGGAAGAAATACGACACAACGGTTAACGTGGATGTGTCGACCAAAGTTTCGCGATACGAAGACAGAGTGGCCAGAATGTGTACCTCATATACGGGATATAGACATGATCGTCTATTAGATTTATTGATTTTCTCAACGTTATTATTGTTTGTGCGAAAGTCGGCCCGCGGTGTTGCCATCAACCATGCGAGTCATATCATATGAAACAGAGTTGAGGGATATTACATATAATAGTACATTTGTCAACATATATAAAAGTGTGGAAGAAGCTGATTGGCGTGATGTAAGGCATGCGTATCACGGACGATTTAATGCACAACAGGCAAGCAAGTGATCGGTACGCTTATGACCATGAACGGATCCCTGGGAGACGGGTCAACACCACTCCACAAAATCATCAATGCGTGCGACGCGGCGAAGCTCATCATGTGTCGTATGAAGTGCGTTACGGTGGATAGCTTGGGCGATCATCCTTTGCATATCGTGCAAAATGCAACAATGGCGGTGGTCTTAATCGCAGGTGATGGAGATGTAAATGCAGACAACGGGATGGGTTTGAAACCTATACATACAACAACTGATGGCGGTGTGGCGGCGGTATTGTTGTTGAACGGACGTGTCCAATATCACGCACGCGCACAGGGCGCAGCAGTTTGCACTGGGCAAAGAATGAAAAAGTGACAAAGACGTTGTTGGCATTCGGAGCTGATGCTAATGATCGCATTAATGGCGTGGGAGATACTCCGTTGTTATTTATGTGCACGGACCCTGACAATGTGCCAGGTGTTGATTGAGGGTGGGGCCGTGGTTGACATGAAGGATGTTGAGGGTAGGTCGGCATTATTGCTGAAATCGTCCGCACGTTTGACGAAGGGTGATGGAAGTGTGAACGCGGAAAGGGAACGCATGATTGCTTTTTTCGTGGAGATAGGCGCGTCATTCAATGAAGGTCGTGGTGTGCCAGACTTGGCGGGAGGATTTTACGATAGTGTTGTGTTGCCGATTAGGCAAAGGCTATTGTTGTTCAATTTGAAAAAGATGGTCGACGACAACCATGATATCAAAATCAAGCATGGACGGAATGAAGGAAACAAAATGTTGATGACGATGTTTCTTGGGGAAGACATTCGTGAAGCGATACTGAATTTTGTTTGGAAAAATCGTGGGGTCGCAGGCAGGGGCAACAGCGAGGCACTCACACGGTTTTGCTTCCCGTCGGCATGAAGCGGGGTCGTTAGTACATTACAGCGCACAGTCGGGGACAGGTTTCACACGTTTCTCGTAGACAGGGTTGGTAAAAGTAATGGTCTTGAATTTCGTGTGGTCGTCAATACATTGCACATGATTTCCCCTTAGTTCGTGGATTCTTTTAGACTATGAAAAACTACAAATATGTCGTCATTAGAAATGCCAACACACGTCCGCCTGCGGGCTCGTCGCGGAGGAACGAAACCACCTCGTGGTTAACGCCTTGTATGTGCATGTGGAAGCGCCGCGACATTCGCGATGTCCGCAGGAGGCAAGCCTTGTCATGAATGAAAGAGTCACGTTATGGTTGTGAAGGAGGCGATAATGCTTCAAATCATGAGGACATCGTCAGAAATTCACCCCAAATTGGTCCCAATGTCTAAAGGCGATAAAAAAAAAGCCGACGAATTGCTGTAACAGCATTCTATTTCAAATTGAAAAATAATAAACCCTGGCACCCCAGTGGACGGGCACTACACGGCCCTAGGTTTGCTAGAGGGAGCTGTATGGCCTCAGTAACCTGGCTTCACCATCAAAGGAGGAGGGAGCAGGTGGCGACGAGCTGAACTGGGCTGGATGACCATTCGGCGCGAGTTTTTATATTTTTTTCAGACCAAGAACCTTGAATGCAATGAGGGAGAAAGCGAGGAACCGACTGGGAAGGACAGCAACGAGAGCGTGTACGGACGGAGCAGGTCGAGTGGCGTTATGCTCGGGCTGACTACAGCGGCGCCGGACGGAGCAGCGGCACCGGAGCATGCGGGCGACATCGACCCGTGGCGCACGGACAAACATTTGTATCTGTGTTGTCATTTTTTTTCGTTTTTTTTCTGACTTTCCGTGTTGTTTTTTCTGTGAGATGACGTCGTCACCGGTTTTGTAGAGAGACCCGTCAGAGATGGCGTGGCTAACCCGGGTGCATTGGTTTTGTGCCTGATCGTGGAAGACCCCTTCAATGTGGAACGATTCTTAGCTAGTGTCGATATTTTTCACTGCAGTGCCTACACAGACGATCGGGAGAGATTCGGGTGATTGTCAATTGCTGCTATGATGGCTTTGGTTGGTTGTTCTTTTTCACTTCTGGGTTTCCCCGCTGACTCAAAAAAGACCAGTTCAGCGATTTTCACCAGGCCGGCCCAAAAAAACACCGGTTCGGCTATTGCGCCGCTCTGAACAGGTGAAAATGAGCTGGTGTTTTTTTTTTTCAGAGCTGGTATAAAAGCCCATCTGTATTTCACCTGTTTAGTTTTTGCGTGTTCGGGAGGCGAAGCGGTACATAGCGAGATCGCGTCGTTCCCACAGCAGTTGCGCGCAACACCCAGTGGCGAGGCAGCTGGGAGTCTTGCGCATCAGTGGGTGTGGACGTGTCATTCGGTGGGTTCCGCTGGGAGAGTGATTTCTTCTGGAGAAGTGGTGTTTTTTGCACCTGGAAGTCGTCACGTCCTCTTGATTGAACCGAGATCTAAGCGCGTATCACAAGGAGTGCCTTGGTTGTGAGTACAGAGTACTCGTGCTCGCGGCGGCGCAGGAACCTTGCGCCGCGCCGCGTACGCGTCTAGAGCGAGGCGGGCGCTGTGTTTTGCTGATTCAGCTTTCGCGGCACGCCAAGTGTGGCGGTCACGGAGTTCTTTCTGGTTGCATGGGCGACAACAGCGACGGCGTGTTAGACTTGACTCACAGCAGTGGCACGGATAACAACTCGACTCCCTTGTACGAGACGGACTCGAACCCGGACATGTTCAGTGTCCACACCACTCCGGGGAAGCCGAGGGTGCGTCAGCCGCAGCGTTCGTCGCCTCGAATCCGCGATCGCCGGGGTTCGAACGTAGATGTTGCGAGCTTATCGCCAACCTCGTCACCTGCGAGTGGTCTGAACTCCCCGCAGACCGGGGGGGTCGCGTCATCAGCTAGCCGCAGGACGTCTCACCGCACCCCGAAGCGAACGAGTGCACCCGAGGACGAGGGGTACGAGACGAAGTACGTTAAGCCTGTTCCCCAGCGTTTCAGCCGTGCTGCCGGCGGGAAGGACGGCGGCGGCGGCGGTTCTTTTGGGTCACCGCTTCTCGTCAGCTCAAGCCAAGGCAGCGGCGACAGTGATGAGGCGGAGGGAGAGTCCTCGCCGGGCACCGGGGGTAGTAGTGAGGGCGGAGGCGGCAAGGGGAAGGAGCCGGAGAGGAGAATCGCTGGGCCTGAGGTTAAAAAATCTGGCAAAGGTGTGTGCTCGAAGGATGTAGTCGTGACTATGATTGTGCGCCCTTCTGAGAGGAATTGTGAGAGGACTGAAAATATGTTCACACGTATTTCTGTTTTCATGCGCCCTCTGTGAAGAAGGGTGTAAGTTTTGGATCCTGTACGTCATTAGGCACCTGCACATCGTGATGTTCCCTCAACCATGTACACTTGTGGCATACGTCGTGTCCGTTTCCCAATAAGTTTGCAGTACGTGTGCTTGACTGACTGTGTTTTCTTCGCGGCGGCAATGGTTGAGATATGCATGCAGCATGCCGCAGATAAAAAATGCAGAGAACAGCCTGAAAACTTCAATTAATTGTTTGCAAACGTTAGCTTCGAATCGAATGCAATGTGGGATCCGCAATGCCATTTTCTGTACAATACAAATTACAGAGCAGTGCTGTACTTCGGTGGGGCGCCTCCCGTGAAGTGAGTGGCGACCCAACCCCTTCAAGTCGTGGCTAGTGTACGACGTCCATCATCCTAACTCTTGTACCCCAACTCTCGTTTGCCTTGCATTCCTGATCAGAGACAGGCCCGCGGTGGTGGACTCAGCAGGGAGAGAGGGAGCTTCTGTGGCGGCTCATACCGAAGCACTTAGCGTCCAAGCACTCGGCCAAGAAGGCTAAGGATGAGGAGTGGTGGAAATGCGCACAGGCCCTCTCGAAGAAGGTTGAGATGACAATACGGGTCAAGGAAGTGCAAAAGGACGGCAACCTGGAACTCGTCACGAAGAAGGTCACAGTCGACATGGGGAGGAAGATGGAGGTGGGTAGACGCTGCGGATATTATTCTTGTATTTCGGATTGCGGTTCGATCTTCATCAAGCTTAACTCGCCCAACTTAGGACTTGCTTAGGATCACGTATGCGGCGAGTAGGATGATTCTTTAGCATCCGAGACAATGACAAGTTTTACCCTTTTTTGTTGACGGTACCTATGAAGCCAAATAAAGCGTTGTGGGGGGCGGGGGCGGGGGCAGAAGGTATGTAAAGAAGAGGGTGGGCTGTAAAGAAGAAGGCCTCCGTGCCAGGAACGAATGCAGAATTTATGAAAACGGTTGCGAAACAACCCATCACCTAACCACTTTGAAATGTAGCTGTGTGTGAACCCGTTGTCGTCTAGTCGCACAAACGGTGCCCATTTCCAAATGCCGCCTAACGACACTACTTACTGTTGTTCCTACATATAGCCGAAGTATTTGCACGAAAACGCTGGGTTATGAGAGATAAGAGCTCCCCCACCCCGTGTACCTCAGACAGTGTTCGGTTAGCCATGGCGGACATGATAAAGTAACGATAGCATTGTCATTCGAGAGACTCGCCCCCCTTGATTTTTCCCGTTCGCACCGATGTCACAGGGACTGTCGCGGGAGGTCATCGTGGAAAAGCTGCGTAGCATCTTCAGCGCTCACCGAACGGCATGGAACAAGAGGCAGGAGAAGAAGAAGAGTCTCACCGGCGAGGGTGACGATGGCGATGACGAGGGAACGGAGGTGAGGTTGCAATGTACGACAGGAGACACCCATGGTTAGTTTTGCGGTGGAGGTTCCATGTCCGACACGTGCGTGCTTCCTCCAGTGAGATCCGAATCTCCATCCCCCCCGTCCCGGGGAACCTCAGGCTGTCACATTATTGTTCGCCTTTGAATATGGTCATTGAGTTTGCCTTCCAAGGAGATTCCAGGAACCGTCCAGTATTTGACTACCACGACCAAATCAGGCCCCCGCCTTTCCGAAAAGGGTTAGTGCGCATTCATCCCCCCCCCCTCTTTAAAAAAAAAAGAGAAATAATTAAAGAAAAGAAGGAAGATTCAAATCAGGAGCATCTGTTGAACTTCTGTCCCTGTCGGTTTCGATGTTGTGCATGGGTCCATGCGTTTCTCATGGGGTTATGCATCTTGACGCACACCTCCAGCTCTTTGCATTTCTTTGTGG